TTATTAATAACACCATAATCCGTGCCTCACACGTATGGGGAATTTTATCCCTAATCCTAAGTAGGGATAAGTCAGCGCCTAACACACGTTGCCGGTTTAGTCTTTCATCGATTGAAGAAGAAAGCAGAATCCAAGTCTGGGGAATTTTATCCCAAAACCTAAGTAGGGATAAGTCAGCGCCTAACACGCGTTGTCGGTTACTCTTTAACCATAAAAAGGATAAAAGCCCACATATTTGACATTGTGACAGATTGTTATTAATAACACCATAATCCGTGCCTCACACGTACGTGGAATTTTATCCTGAATCCTAAGAAGGGATAAGTCAGCGCATAACAGGCATTACCGGTTTAGTCTTTCACCGATTGAAGAAGATACCAGAATCCAAGTCTGGGGACTTTCATCCCAAATCCTAAAAAGGGATAAGTCAACACCTAACGTGCGTTGCCGGGTAGTCTATTCCCGTAAGAAAGACGAAGTCTACGTATTCAATATCATAGCATTAAGAGAGTTAACTCTCTTAGCACAACGTTACATGTGAAAATGAGTTTAAACAATTCACATGCTAGTCCGATTTAAACGGTAATCGGTAAAGGCATATCAAACCCGTTGAAGGCTGAGGGTTTGCCAAAAATCCTAAATTCTACGCCTAACACGTGTCGCCGTTTAGTCTTTTCACGTGAGAAAGACGAAGTCTACGTATTCAATATCGTAACACTAAGAGATTTAACTCTCTTAGCACAATGTTACGTGCAGAACGAACTTAAACAATTCGCATGCTAGCCCGACTTAAACGGAAGTCGGTAAAGGCTCATCAAACCCATTGATGGCTGAGGGTTTGCTAAAAATCCTATATATGCAAGAGACATTAACGCACCAGCCCCATTAGTTAGTCTCGTGACTGGAGCATCCAACAACTTCGGGATAAGATCCATATCTGCAGACGAAACAACTTTAGTAGTTGGTCCTACAGCCTGAAATTTGGGACCGCCATGCTCTAATACCTTAAGAGCTTAAACTATGTATACTCTAGCAAACGTACGAGTATAAACTGAGTCAATGCCGGGCAATCTGAAATCCTAAGGTCAACGCCGGTCAATGCGTAACCCTAGGTCAACGCCAATCAACGCGTTATGATGAAAAGTCAACAACGGGCGATCCAAAACCCTAATGTCAACATCGATCAATGCGTAACCCTAGGTTAACGTCAGTCAACACGTTGTAATGAAAAATCAATGACAGGCGATCCGAAACCCTAAAGTCAACGTCGATCAACACGTAACCCTAGGTTAACGCCAGTCAACGTGTTGCAATGAAAAGTCAATATCATTCAACGCATAGCCCTAAGTTAATATATTGTGACGGAGATAGTCAGTTCTAAGTCATCTCGATGACATGAGCTAAAATCAACTCACCAGTTTTCGATTCAAGACTTCGACGACGGCCAGACGATAAACGCAGCGCCGTAAGAATTTTAGCTGTTCGTTAAAATATTGAATAGACTAAAAATCAAAGGAGTCGTGAGTCAGAACTAACTACAGATCCTTTTACACCGACTGAAGGTTGGACCGATCACATCCAAAGTATTTCAGGCTCCTCTATAAAAGAAACAAAACTGAAATACTTTGGAGGGGGTATCTGTAGGCGTCTAAAAATGCCTATAGGTTCCCGCACGCGGCTCAAGACAAAGAGAAGATGATGAACGTTGCTATCCAAGTCACAAAAATTCATTTGACAATGACAAGCGCATGAAGTAAGTCAACGAACCATGCAAAGCAACAGAACTTTGGAATAACGGAAACATGAATGGATAGGGAGCTACGCGTCGCTTATGAAAGATGAAGCGCCCCTCATGCCCCATATACTCCACATATGATTCAATCATGGAAGATTGTAGATCACCTCGTCAGCTTTCCAACGCATTTTGAATCACGTAATTCTGAGTTCGGATGACGAAGATACGACGAAAACGGACACCACGTGCGGAATAACGCGCCAAGCCTCGGCGAGACACCAAGAGGTGTCTCGGCCAAGACTTGGCCGAGACACCTATGGGTGTCTCGGCCAAGTCTTGGCCGAGACACCCATAGGTGTCTCGGCCAAATCTTGACTGAGACACCAAGGAGTGTCTCGGCCCAAGGTTGGCCGAGACACCCATGGGTGTCCGCAGACCCGAAATGCTGTTTTTGGCAGATTAAAGCTGTTTTTCAATCGTTAACCATCTGGATTTGTTTTAATTGATCTGATATCATCCAAAAACACGGTTAAGTGGTTACAACTGAAGTAAGATCAAATCAATCGTTCTTATCTGAAAACAGGGGATCCTTAAGCCTATAAATACAGCCCTAGGGCCTTTATTTTTTCAGATCTGAAATTCTCGAACATTGGCGAAGCCCTGCTGAGGAGGAGATCTGAGCGAGTTCTTTAACACGAAGAAGAAGAGTTTGTTAGATCTGCAGTTCCCGTTTCTTATCCTTGAGATTGCCCCGTTGCGGTGATCTCGAGAAGAGTGATTATCTCGCTGTTGCCGAGATAATTATTTTGGTATCTTGATTCCTTCGCGAATCAACGAAGCTCCGGATCCGATCTGATCGCTTGGTAGTCCACGGATATCAACGTCCCCGTCACCAGCCAAGATCCCACGCAAGCAGCGGAGGATAAACGTCAGTTGCGCTGTTTGACAAAAGTTTACTTTTTTTTGTTTTCATTGTGTAAGGGTCTTATAAAATAACTAACCTTTTCTTTTCATTGTAATATTTGAAGTTGTAATGAATACAACAATGAAATCATCAACTTTCTCCCCAAACAATGCATTCTTTATTTTTCCACTCAAGTTCACCAGTTGACTTGATCGTCGAAGGTACAACGGGGGAACGAATCCCCGTCCTCTCACGAGTTTCTATTTGTGCAGGCTAAAAGATACTAAAGTCAAAACGAGATATTCAGAGAAGTGAGCGGCCCCTAATCAACCTCACCCCCCATATATTTGACTGTTTGGTTACTTAACATCAACAGTTATACTATATTATATTATATTATGTAACTAATATATTATATTAGATATATTATAATATAGTATATTAGATACTATATGAGCACCCTTTAAACTTAACACACAAATACTAAACTTGAAACACTTTTTTGATATTTTAAGACTTTGTTTGGCTTCCAAGATGTTTTTCTTATTATATTTTTTTAGAAAAACGCATTGGTGTTGTATTTTTTCTCCTAAAATGTTTTGCAGACAGAGAAAATATTTAGTTGTACAGAAGTGGAAGTTAGATGTAAATACTGCATCAGAATCTATGGTATGTCAAAGAAATGCATTAGAGTGAGATGAGCAGTTGGGATGTGTAAAATTCCATTGAAATTTAATAAAAATGAAATAGTATATTTACAGACATCAAGCTGTTCAATAATTGTGCTGCCAAAATTCATACTGACATTTCCAGTCTAATAATGTCCTCAAAATCTGACTCAAAATTGTCCACATGCATCTGCGATCTTATGTACAAGATCAATACCCTCTAGCTTAGTAATGACTCATGTACTTATAAGCTACCAACGAAATAGACAAAATAATTACCATAATCCATAAATCAATATAGCTGAGACCTTTGAATAAGTGAGATTTCAACCAAAAGTCAAATCAAAGCTCCTGAACCAGTTGAACTCTAACAATTTGTGTTGCTCAAAGGTTTGATTCCAGCGATGACATCACGATAGTCAGTAGTCAAGCAACATGGCAATAATAAGCATATAGTTTATGAAAATAACATTTTATATGAATCAAATTCCCAAAAAAACAAGAACGACCAAGAACATTTCCCCCCAAGCAAATAAATTTTCACAAATAAAACAGTCACTAAGCAGAAAAAATTCAACAATTTGTGAGGTTAGTTTCTGTGTAAATTTACGTTTTGAGATCAATAAACCCTGCAGCAGCTTCATTTCAGATTACATCACAAATAATTTAAAATTCTTCCAAAATTTCTCAGATCAATCAATAAAAGTTGATCTAAAAATGTTGACAATAAAATTGATCAAATGTTGGAGGAATCAAAGATAAAACAGAATAATAGGAGAAAAGGAGTCAGTGAGAGGAGATCAGGTGATGAGGAGAGAAATAGTATACCTTCAACAGAGATTTGACAGAAAAGGAGGACGGCGGCAGTCATCGATTTCGTTATAAAGATGGAGGCGGTGGTCTACTGGAAGGAGACAGCGATGGTGACTTCGTTGGAGTGGTAGTGGCAACGATCTATTGGGAGGAGACGACGACAACGATGACGATCAGTTCGTGAGAACACTGGTGAGCGGACTTGGAGGAGACGACGACGGCAACAGGACTTGGAGGAGATAGCGACGGCGATGGACTTGGGGGAGACGGAGGCGATGATGGGACTTGGAGGAGACCACAATGACAACGGCAATTGCGGAAACAGTGACGACGACTTCGTGGTTGCGAGGCGCGGCGACGATCTGGAGATGGTGAGGGACAATCTAAAGTTGGGGGTCGATATTTTGGGGAAAACGAAAACCGTAGGCTTAAAATAATTTTTTGTTGTTTTGAGAAAAGTGTTGAAATTCTAGGATGGTTGTGTTTTAGGACAGAAAAACAGATTAGTTCCCAAAATTTTTAAATTATTTTAGCAGAAACAAAACAGAAACGACGTAACATAGCCTTATTGTGTTTCTTACTTCTGCAATCGTAGCCTAATAAAAATACTATAGTTTCTAAACATATGTAGTGTTCTACTTTTGCGTAAGGGTGGCACTAGGGGCACACCTCCAACCACATCCTCTCTCATTTGCTACAGTGCACCGGGCCCCACATGTGATTTTAAAAATTTTAAATCATATGTGGGATCTGATGCACTGTAGCAAATGAGAGAGGGGGTGTGGCTGGAGGTGTGGTTGGAGTGTGCCCGTATCATTTTCCTTTGCGTAAACATGATCGAAACGCTAAAAACACTATAGTTTCTCCGAACGGTCCCTTAGATTTTAATCGGAGGACCCACGCGGCCACGCCGAACGAATTTGTTTTCCTTTCCCCTCCATCGGATAAGTACTCTCCCCGCCCTCCTCCTCTCGTTATTCCCAGCCATTTCTAGCGACGATGATTTCAGCGACTTCTCATTTTCTACCGGACGTTTCCCAGGTTTCTTCGCAAACCCATTCCTTATTTTTATTTTTTTTAAACTTCACTGCTTCCGCTTGCAAATTGAAATAATAAATTCTTAAACATTGCAGTTAAAGATTGCCGAAAGTGATGACTTTGTCAATAAGAGATATTGGGGTCGGCATGGGAGGAGGCTGGCTGTCTCAATGGTATCTTTCATCTCCTTTTAACTCCGTCTTTCCTTTTTAAAGCGCATATTACGGATTTCCTCGTTTGGGTTCTCCTATTCAGGAGAGAATCTCAAGTGGTTCTTCTGATTTCTCTTTCTTTAATAAAATGTGCAGCAACTGTTTGTGGAAATGTCTCTGTATACTATCTAACTGTGCAAAGAGATTATCAATGTGGGATGACAGTTAACGAAACATAAGTGGGGTATACATTAAAAGATGGGATAATAAATGAATGCATCCCTAGTAAATTGAAGGTTGCTTCTATTGAGAATGAAACGATAGAGACTCAACTAGTGAACTAGTTAGGAAAAGTGACAATATTATGGTTAATGGGGCAAAGAGATTTAGGGGTAGACCCAAGAGAACTTGGTTGGAAACGATTAAGAAGTATATGATTATGACTAATTTAACGGAGGAGACGACCTGGAATATTACAGAATGGAGGAATAGGATTCATGTAGCCGACTGCCAGCATTTGGGATAAAAATTTTGCTATCGTTGTTGTTGTGGGTATGTTAAAATGCAAAGATTTGGATTCAGGATTTTCTTTCTTTCTTTTGTGAGTGTGTTGTGTGGGGCTAAAGTTGACTGCATGTTTTCATATGTTTGAATGGATGTGTATTTTTCATTACGTTTGGGTTACGTGAGCAGTGTATCCCTGTATTACTTAATCCTATGTCATAGGATGAATTCAGCATGATTGTGCCGAACCCCTTTGGCTCATACTAGTTGATAGTTCTGGCAGACATTAGTAAAGGAATGAATTTGTCATCTTATTTAGCTTTGAGGACCCAAACCTTTTGTTTTTAAGTAACAATTTTGGATTATAATTGAAATTCTACCTGGTTCTTTTGATGTTGGTTCTTACTTCTCATGTCCAAAAACCAATTCATCCAAAAGGTAAGCTATTGGGTTCTGGGGTAATAATGTCTTGGCACTCTCAACACACCCAAATATAACGTGTTTCTTCTTAGACTTCAATGTATTCATGCATCTTATTGGCGATTAATAATATTCAATTTATCTAATCTGCTTCATTGTAGAAAGTTCATCATGTGATATTCAATTTCTTACAGAACAGCACAAAGCCAGTAGAGAAGCAAAAGTCGACATCATCAGGTATCCGGAAAATTTTAAATACCAATCTGGTCCTTCCTGTGTCTCCAAAAACCACTCAACATAGCACTGCTCCCTTGGTCGATGCACTAAAATCTTGCTCTGGACAAGATGTTGCCTGTTTCCACTTTCCCGGACACAACAGAGGGAAAGCAGCTCCTCCTTCACTATCTCATCTCACATCTCTAAAACCATTTCTCCATGACCTCCCTGAGCTCCCTGAACTCGACGATCTCTTCTCCCCAAAGGGCGTAATTTTAAATGCCCAGAAACAAGCTGCAGAACTGTTCGGTGCATCTGACACATGGTTTCTTGTCGGAGGCACAACCTGCGGCATCCAAGCATCAATAATGGCCACTTGTTCGCCAGGTGAAACTCTAATTCTTTCAAGGAATTCTCACATTTCTGCAACATCTAGCTTAATCTTATCAGGTGCCATACCAAAGTACATTGTACCAGAGTATAATTCTCAGTGGGATATTGCTGGTGGAATTACTCCATCACAGGTTGAAAATGCTTTGAAAGATTTGGAGGTAGTTGGTGAAAAGGCAGCTGCAGTGCTAATAACTTCGCCGACTTACCATGGAATTTGCAGCAACTTGAGAGAAATTGCAGAACTTTGCCATGTATGGGGTGTTCCTCTCATAGTTGATGAAGCACATGGTGCTCATTTCAGGTTTCATAATAGCCTTCCAAGCACTGCGCTCGAGCAAGGGGCTGATTTAGCTGTTCAATCTACGCATAAAGTCCTCTCCTCTTTAACTCAGTCATCGATGTTACATTCTTCAGGAAGTCTTGTTGATAAAGAGAGAGTCAGCAAATGTCTTCAGATGCTTCAAAGCTCCAGCCCGAGCTACCTACTTCTTGCGTCTCTAGACGCTGCGAGAGCTCAGTTAAGCGAAAATCCAGATACCATTTTTGACAAAGCGATGGATTTGGCAGTTGAAGCTAGGCATAAGTTAAGCATGATCCAGGGCGTATCACTATTGGACTTATCGAGCTTTGTTTCAGATTTTCCTTCCATTGATCCACTTCGTATAACTCTTGGTGTATCTCAGCTTGGCATTTCTGGTTATACGGCAGATGAGATATTATCTCAAGAAGCACAAGTAATCTGTGAGCTAGTTGGAAGCCGATCCTTAACATTCGCAATTAACTTGGGTACTTGTAGAAAGGATATCCAGAGACTTGCGTTAGCAACAGAGCATTTGTCGACGGCTTACTGCCAGAAAATTGAATTGGGAAACAATTCGAAGGGTGGCCTTTATGAACACTTCAACGAAATTACTTTTGGATTGAGTCCAAGAGAGGCGTTCTTTGCAAAGAAGAGGAAAGTAGCTATCTCGGAGAGCACGGGGCAAGTATGCGGAGAGTTGATCTCTTCATATCCACCCGGTATTCCAGTGCTTATTCCTGGGGAGATTATAACTGAGAAGACTTTATCCTATCTCCTGAACGTCAAGAGGATGGGTGCTGCAATTAGTGGAGCAGCTGATCATCAACTTTCTTCACTACTTGTCTGCAATACGTAACAACATCTCTAGTAACTTTTCACACTGTTCAGCTTTGTGAGGAATCGTCAGAACAGTTGAGGGGATAGCAAAACAGTTGAAACGAGGGTTAGTTAGAGGACAACCCCTTGTAGTATCATGGTTTTGAACTTACTACTACTCTAGTTTTGTTTTTACAGATAGACCCTTTGAGTGAAATCTTTTTGACTCTTTTACCCCAAAGGAATAGAAATTTGTTTTTTGACAAATAGTGCGCACTAGGGTCAAAGAGTCAAAAAGATTGACTTAAGGAGTCTATCTGCAAAATTAAAACTAGAGGGATAGTAAGTTAAAAAATGTTGGGGGTCTGTCTGCAATTAACCCTTGAAACAAATAGGATTTAGCTTGGGGGAGGAAATCAAAAGATGGGTACGGGAAGGAATGAATTTTGATAAGAATGAGGGTACACGGAACAAAAGAAAGCTGATGGTAGAGGATTCATGAGGCCAGCTTCTAGATTGTATGTATCGTAAGTACAGTTGATTTTCGTGTTTTTGTTCCTTTTTTTGGAAGCAAAGTCTTCCAATCGTATATATTACTTATTTAGCTATTAGTCCTTGTTGACCTGAAGTAGGAGGTTTTCTTTCTGTACGAGTTTGTGATTCTTATATGTGTAAAGCTAAGCTTGGTAGTGGTCACTTTGTGTTATATTACTTTATTTTAGTTAGATTTACAGTAACTCACCAAGACACAAAATCTGGTTCTGTTGCATCTTGGGGAGGAAAAGAAACAACTTCGCAATTCCTTGGTACTTATTGTAGTCTTATGATTAGACAGCTACCTATAAAATATGAAGAGCAAGGAGCATAAAGGGCTGTTTGTTTGCCTAAAAAAAGAGGGAAATTAAGGAATAGAAAACCTATTTCTAAGAAAATTTGTTTTAAGATTGTTTGGTTGGCTAGAAAAAAGAAGGAAATCAAAGAACGGGAGATGAGTTGTCATATTATTATTGGATGATGTGGGTGATTTTTTAAGAAAATTTGTTTTGAGGTTGTTGAGATGAGTTGTCATATTATTATTGGATGATGTGGGTGATTTTTTAAGAAAATTTGTTTTGAGGTTGTTTGGTTGGCTAAAATTTAAGAAAATTTGTTTTGAGGTTGTTTGGTTGGCTAAAAAAATAAGGAAATAAATTATAAGAAACCTATTTCCTGTAATAGGTTCTCTTCTTGTGTTTGGTTCATTCATAAAAATAAGAAAATAGATGAGATGAGATGAGTTGTCATTATATTATTGGATGATGTGACCCACACTTAAGGATATCAATTTCCTAGTTTTTTTGGAGGAAATGAGTGGAAATAAAATGTTAATGAGATGAGATGAGTTGTCGTCATATTATTGGATAATGTGAGTGATTTTTAAAAATAAGATGTGATGGAGATGAGATGAGTTGGATGATGTGACTCATTTTTTGTGTTTGGTTTATTTTTAGGAAATGATATGAGATGAGTTGTGAGATGAAAATAATATTTTATTGGATGTTGTGGTGAGTTTTAGGAGGTGAAAATGGATAAAAATAATATTTTATTAATTTCCATGTACCCTTTTTCTTTTCTTGATTTTTAGAAAACCAACCAAACAGCCCCTAACGTCTCGTTTGGTACGTGGGAGTAAGTGAGAATATAATACAATTCCAACTCTTTATTCATGCGTACCAAACACGATGTATTTTTAGACGCTAGAATTATTATTCCCACTTCTTATCAATTCCCACTTTATATGAGAATTGTCATTCCCAACTATTTAACAAGGAATTGGTATTCCCACTTAAGTGGGAATAAAATAATTAAATAATTTTTGATTATACCCTCCTTAAAAGATTCAAATAGATATAAACTCTCATATGAAAAATTATTTCTATAGAAATAATTTCATTAGCTACTCGTACAAATATACAAATAGATGTAAAATATTAAAATACTATTCATTGTTCAACTTTGTCCTAGTTCCGTTGCGTATGTAGTAGAAAAAAAAATCTCATCTTCGACTCAACGCGACTCGGTTAGGTAACCAATATTTCTTTTTAAAAAATGTATGTGTGGCTAATCTTTACCAAATCTTTACAATAAATTTTTATCTTTGGGCGACTCAGTTGCGTAATCTAGGGCTGAGCATGGTTCGGTCCAAACCGAAAAAACCAACCGAACCGACCCGAACCGACCCGAAAAAATCGGTTTTATGAGTGGGGTGGTTCGGGTCGGTTTGAAAACTTTTCAACCCGAACCGACCCAAACCGACCGAATATAGTGCAATACTACCCATTCTGATCTCAAACCCTACCCGACCCGTCCCAAAAGAGTCAAAGACTCAAACCCTAAACTTATTTTTTGAATCATTATGGGTTGAAAACAATATCATTATATCAGTGTTTATTGCTTCATAATCTCCAACTTTGTTGATATCTTTTTTTCTTTAACACAATTTATTGTTTGATAAGAAGTTTGATGAAGTTAGAACCGAACAAACCGAACCGAACCGCACCGAACCGACTTGCCACAGTTCGGTTCGGTTTTGATTTATAAGTGGTTCGATTCGGTTGTTCAAAATTTGGTAAAAACCGAACCGAACCGACCGTTGCACACCCCTAGCGTAATCTATTGACAGTTAGGTTAGCAAATATTTTATCTTTGGATATATGATTTGAAGTTCCATAGAAGCATATATGCCTAATCTTTTCAGTAATTTTTTCAAAGCACTCACAATAAGAAATAATGTGCTTAATTGATGAGATTGAAACTTTATATTTTGATTAGAGGTTAACATGTTTTCTATTCCTTCAAACTTTCTAGGTTAACATGTTTTCTATTCCTAATCAATTTTTTGAAAGTTAAAGGTGCATTTGAAATTTGGGAAAAATGTTTCCGGACCCCAAAAAAAGAAGAGGATGTGACCCAGCCCCTCTATGTTTTTCCCTTTCTCTTTAACCCCAAAGACACTCCAAAAATGTGTTCAGCTCTTTTTTCACGCTCTCCCATAAATTAATCTCACTCTCTCCCAAAAATGCCCTATCTTCTTCTCCTCCTCCTCATGGGTTTCTCCTCCTCCTCCTCTTAATCTCCTCCTCTCCCCCTCCCCTCCCTCTCACCTCTCTTCTCGCGCTCAAAGCCCAAGCCCCAAGATCCTCAGCTCTAAAACCCTAACCCCAGCCCCAACCCCAAATCCCCATCATCAACCTCCTTCTCCCTCTCCCTCAACATCTGGCCTCCCATCCAGCGCACTTGCGACGTCGTCACTGCTCGCCTCTTCAGAACCCTAACCTGCCCCTCCTCCGTCCTCGCCAAGCGCTACGGCGTCCTACCCGATGCGGAAGCTGCCTCCGCCACCGACGAGATCGAGAAGGAGGCGTACGCCCTTAAGTGAGCTTGCTGGATGAACTCATGTACTCGTACTTCAACGCAAGCCTTACGTAAACATTGTGAAGACTGTAACTATTTATATAGTACATCAATTTATAACATTTGTATCCTGTGTTATTATTTACATGTATATTACATCTTATTATATAATGATAAACGTTCATTACTGACATGTTCCAATCAATGTTGGCCTTTATACTGCATGTTATGGAAGGCGAGATTTTTTATGTTTAAATTCTCTAGATGGAACTGGGAATTGAGGGCAAGCAGGAAATTAATCCCCATCAGGATATTGAAGTTGATGATTATGGATGATGATGATGATGATGCATTCCTGAGAGAGAGGCGTTATGCCTTTCAGTCGTAGGTGGGAGATATTCTGTTATTACAAGCTGGGGGGCCTAATATGCAATTAACTCAAATGCTGTAATTGTGTGTATATGCACAGAGCGAGAGATTTGAGATACACTGTTGGACCGCGACTAGTTCTTTGAGGTGTAATAGAGTTTGCTGTGGTTGCAAGAAATGCATCTTGTTCTTTGAGGTGTAATAGAGAAGTTTTTTGATATTGTAGGTAGTAGAATCTTTGCTTGCTTCATTTTTTATCTTCTTAATTTTGATGAGGAATTGATTATTGTAGTGTAGAAAATTTTAATCATTGAGCAGATTCTTTAGTTAACATTTAGATTCTTTAGTTAACAAGATATTGCTTGAGTAGATTCTTACAAATCCTATTAAATATCCTGGTACTCTAAAAACTTTCAGCTGGATAACTTTGATTTATCATTGATATATAAATCTGAAATTCACCCGAAATAGTGATTGTATGGAGATTCATATGCACGCTGTTGTTAATATATAGAGTTCTATTATTATGAAAGTTAACATGTTACGAAGAAAGTTAACATATTATTATGAAAATTAACATGTTACGAAGAAAGTTAACATATTATGACGAAAGTTAACATGTAATAGTGAATGTTAACATATTATGATGAAAGTTAACATGTTCAGTTGAAAGTTAACATGTAATAGTAAAAGTTAACATATAATGGGGAAAGTTAACATGTAACAGTTAAAGTTAATATAGCCGGATAAAAGTTAACATCTTCAGATTAAAGTTAACATGTTATGAAGAAAGTTGACATGTTCACGTGAAAGATAACGTTAACATGTTATGAAGAAAGTTGACATGTTCACGTGAAAGATAACTTATTCAAATAAAAGATAACATAGCCAAATGATAAGTAACATGTTTATCACGTGAAAGATAACTTATTCAAATAAAAGATAACATAGCCAAATGATAAGTAACATGTTTAGCAGAAAATTATACCGCTAAAAGGAATTATAAAACTTCTTTCATTCTTACAGATGATATTGCTTGAGTACACAATTTAATTATTCTTATAAATTCACATATTACAACTTGTTCATGTTAACATTTAGATTCTTTAGTTAACAGGATATTGCTTGAGTAGATTCTTACAAATCCTATTAAATATCCTGCTACTCTAAAACTTCCAGCTGGATAACTTTCATTTATCATTGATATATAAATTTGAGAGGCACCCGAAATAGTGGTTGTATGTAGATTCATATGCAAGCTGTTGTTAATATATAGAGTTCTATTATTATAAAAGTTAACATGTTACGAAGAAAGTTAACATATTATTATGAAAATTAACATGTTACGAAGAAAGTTAATATATTATGGTGAAAGTTAACATATTATGATGAAAGTTAACATGTTCAGCTAAAAGTTAACATGTTACGAAGAAAATTAACATATTATTATGAAAGTTAACATGTATAACTATAAAAATGTTATTACGTAGTATATATCACAATAAAGGAATTTCTTAGCTCATCTCTTGGCCTACATTAAAATTAAAATTTAATCCAAAATTAAAATAGCATGAAATTTTTACATTCCACTCGAGCACTCAGACATAATACAAAGTGTACGCTCACTTCGCTTGAACTTTCCTACTGTGATATATCCATCTAATTGGAATCGAATAAAACTTTTCATATAAGCACATAATCAATCTTGAAGCGCATAGACAAGATAAAAAACACTTTGTTTGCAAGGAAACATTTAGAAAATTAACATACAAAAGGAACAACTAATCTCTTTTCAACAAGCAGCAACAACGATCATCTGTAAAATTATAAATATCGTTGCTAAACA